TTTTGTGAGGTGAACTGAGTAACCATAGAAATTTAAGACACATTTAGAAACCAAATACTAATACCATAAAAGTTTTTTTTTTAAAAGCAATGGGATCATATAATAGGAAATCCTCACACAAAAAAAGTTCACACACACAATGTTTTAACATGTTACAATCAGAAATACATATGCGCTGCTTTTACATGCAGTCTGAAACCGGTGTAGCTTTAGAGGCAATGTATTGCTGATCAGCATTTCGAATGTCTAATGACTCTCATTGCTGATGTAACTGCATCACTGACTAGGCCTACATCACTCTCACTTTGCATGAGGCTGTCAAGGGGGTAATCCATCGACCGGAAGTTGAAGCCGGCCGGGTGCCGCCATCTTGTAGCAGAACTTCACTTGCGTTAGCATTTCCATTGACTCCCATTCATTTTGGCGTCACTTTGACAGCGAATAACTTTACATCTGAGGCGTTTAAAGACTCCATTTGTCCATTATTTATTTCTAAAGAAACACGACAATGTATAAAGGGCTCCATTACCTTCTATGTTACATTATGGCCCCGTAGAAACAGATTTTGTAAAAATAGGCTAACTATTGCGTCATAACCACTCGACTCTCTGTCGCGCTGTACAGAAATTACCGTACAGACAGGAGGAGAAGCTCGCAGGCAATCGGGGGGACGTCCCGTCAAGAGAGAAGCCCATAGATAATGAGTTCATAAAAGCAACGGGATACTTACTCCTGCTCACTCACGTCAAAGAACTCTTTGCTCAAGTTCCTTGTCTCTGCAAGATTAACGTTGGCAATTTTCACGCATAGCTACTAGAAGATTTACGTCTGTCAGACAGGTTGCTCACGTCATCAAGCTTAGTTTGAGTCGGTTTGAGTCTGCGCGTCAGGAACGGAAGTGCTCAAAAATCGCTAAAAGTGGGCTTCAACTGTCTCAACTGAGTTCCAATGAGATCGCTCTGTCCACTTCTTATACTGTCTATGGAGGCTGTATGCAGTTAATTCACTGAATATAAGAACAAACACCTAACCGGAATGTTTGAGGTGGTTTGGGACGTCCCCAGTTATACCTTCAGCACACTGAAATTGCATTCAAAGATTCACAAATAATTAGGCCGCAAAGAAACAGCAAGGAAAACATTGAACTAAACATGAAACATGAAGGCTGAAATAGTTTTTTTTTTTTTTTTGTAAAATGTATAATCTGTTTAATGTTTTAATTACAATTTCGAAAAAGTCATTTTTACAGTGTAATAAAATTGCTGTAAAATTGCAAAACAATACACTGAAACTAGACTTAAAGGAGAACTCCGGTGCAAAATGAACCTCGGGTGTAATAACACATTGGTACAGACTAAATCGTTCCCTGAGATTTGATTTCATGATAATCGAATGTAAAGAGTTTTATCTCTAAAAACAGTTTAGCTTATAACGCTAGTATATTGGGCATAAAGTAAGCAAAAAAAGATCGCTAGTTAATACCACTAACAAGGCTCAAATTAGTCCCACACTAACACGGCAGCATAATGAGGGTCCTTACATGCAAACCGAAGCATTGAGAACTTTGTAAGTGTATAGACAGTTTAATAAGAAGATACTTTACACAGACAGTACAGTTAGCGCATACAGACAGGAGCCATCTTGGAAAACAGTCTCGACCAATCGAACCACGAAGGTGAGCGAATAGTACGTGTAGATATTGAAGATAAGATAGATTATATTTATTTTTTTATTTTCTCTGTTGCGTTCAGTGCTTCTCTTATGCGCTCAGTGCTTTCTTCCGGAAACAACGGACCATATGAGATTCCAAGTCACAGTTCAGCTCACGTATCACCGCCTTCGTGGTTTGACTGATCGAGACTGTTTTCCAAGATGGCTCCTGTCTGTATGCGCTAACTGTACTGTCTGTGTAAAGTATCTTCTTATTAAACTGTCTATACACTTACAAAGTTCTCAATGCTTCGGTTTGCATGTAAGGACACTCATTATGCTGCCGTGTTAGTGTGGGACTAATTTGAGCCTTGTGGTATTAACTAGCGATCTCTTTTTGCTTACTTTATGCCCAATATACTAGCGTTATAAGCTAAACTGTTTTTAGAGATAAAACTCTTTAAATTCGATTATCATGAAAACAAATCTCAGGGAACGATTTAGTCTGTACCAATGTGTTATTACACCCGAGGTTCATTTTGCGCCGGAGTTCTCCTTTAAAAATACTATTTCAGTCTTTCTACTTCAAAATGTTTAATTCAATGTGTTACTTGCAGTTTCTTTGTTCACTGTAAATAGTGATCAGTTGACTTGACATAAAAAAAGTGAGGAAACCCGTTGCCTTAAAATGATTAAGTAAATAAGCTTCATGCGCAATTGAATAAATTAAGTTGTGTGAACATAACACAAGTTATTTTTTTCAATTATGCATGAAGTTTATTTACTTAATCATTTTAAGTTATGTGACCATAACTTAATTTTTTTAAATTACGCATAAAGTTTATTTTGCTACAGGTTTCTTCACTTTTTTAAGTTAAGTCAACTGATCACTTCTTACAGTGTAATAATTTGTGAAATTTACTAGCAATTTCTGGGGGGAAATCCAACACAATTGTTGTGTGTGTGTGTGTGTGTGTGTGTGTGTGTGTGTGTGTGTGTGTGTGTGTTCACCGTGATAAAGATTGCAGTTGATTACGTTCATAAAATGTACATGGGGGATGAGGCTGAGAGGTTTGCTGTGCTGTGCACAATGGAAAGATGAAGACTTATAAACAGGCTTATGTGAAAGTTATATGAAACTTTTTCCTGGAACTACTGCAGAATGCGTTTATGATGCTGACTTATGAATAAAGCCTTACAGCAGCCCTGAAACACAATTAACAATCACAGTAATTCACCATTATGGCTTTATTAGAATCTTATCAGCTCATATGGGAGAACCGGGAAGTTGTGATATCTCTAATTGTCCTGCACATGCTGTCTTCCCTCATTTCCAGTCCATAGTTTCATCACCAGGCTGTATATCTGCCTCTTTAATTAGGCCTGATTCAATACTAATCACATCTGCCCAGTGATTATGATTATCTAATGTTCCGGCAACATGCCTTATGCTTTGATTACACTCCAGAGAAACATAGACAACATACACTCTGAGTAAATATATAAGCTGTCTTGATTCTGATTGGTCAAAATATTCAGAGGTATAATATTTTTGTAAAAAAGACTCCAGGCAACCAATTTTCTAAAATAAACAGGATCTTTACCGTCACTCTGTGACTTCTTCTGGCATAATAAAATAAGTTAAACGTGTTTAAACATTTAAAAAAAAGAAAAAAGAAAAAAACATGCACTAGAGGTCAAATATTTTAAGTCGGTAAGATTTTTTTAAAGTAAATTTTATGTAAACATTTATAATGTTACAGAAGATTTCTATTTCAAATAAATGCTGTTCTTTTAAACTTTCTGTTCATCAAAGAATCCTTTAAAAAAAAAATCACGGTTTCTACAAAAATATTAAGCAGCACAATTGTCTGTTTTCAAAATTGATAATAATAAGAAATGTTTCTTGAGCATCAAATCAGCATGTGAAGGATCATGTGACACTGAAGACTGGAGTAATGATGCTAAAAATTCAGCTTTGCCAGCACAGGAATTAATTACATCTTAAAATATCTTAAAATATTATTATTATTTCAAATTGTAATAATCACAAGCCGAATATTACATGAAACTAGAATAGAATAGAATAGAATAGAATAGAATAGAATAGAATAGAATAGAATAGTTTGTCCATTTATTCAATGATTTATCAGGAAAGTTCTGATACCCGTTGTTACGTCTCCCCATTACTAGGTCTAAAACTAATAGGGAAAGTAACATAGAAGTATTAAATTTAGTTAAATAAATAACAAAAAAAAGAAAATAGGTTCAGCTACTGATAACAACTTGTGTTGAGATGAATCAGACAGAGACAGATTTCGTTGAGTGCTTTTTAGTAGGTCGCAATAGTAACCCAATAGTTTTACAGTTTGAAAGTGAAGAAATAAATATTTACAGAATATACACAAATGAAGAGACAAAACATAAAACACAGGAGAAAGGGACAATGAGCGGTGCTAAAGCAAAGAAATAAACATAACAAAACCCTCTAATCTTAACCCCTTTGATATTCCTAAACTATCAAAGAAATACACGAAAATAAACAATTTTCCGGCAACGAATCACCGACTAAACTACACTAAATAACAAACATAAATACATGAGGTAGCATCCGCTCCTTACCTGATGTATATAAACAAACTCAAACTCTAACGTGTTGCATTATGTAGATCACGTGACAGACTAACTATCCCTTCTCATTGTGTCTGGGAAGATCGATGTCGTACGACAAAGTCACGCACCAAAATAAATCAAATAATACAAACTTAGAGAAATAAAAGAAAAAAACAATCGAGGAGGCTAACAGCGAACAACAACACAGTGACACGAGAAAAAAAACACGCCTCCCCCCTCTCTGCTCGTCACTTCCAGGTCTTTATATGGAGAGGGTGAGTTCGGATTGGTTCTTTAGGGGGATGACGTCACGTTGGTTAATCATGATAAATACGAACCCACCAATCATGCGACCTAAGAATAAGGACAGCAGAGAACAAAAGAAAAGGGGAGGGGGGGGAAAGAAAACACAACCAAAATACGACACAGACGTAACACCCACCTCCTTAAAAACAAACCTCTGTACAAAATACAGAGTTTGTCAAAAGAACCCAAATTATGATCAACTCACTTTATTTTAAACCCGGGATAGCGCATCTGCCACCACATTATTCACACCTTTTTTATACTTTATTTCCAGGTTATAATCCTGAATGATGAGAGACCATCTCATCAATCTCTGGTTCCGGTTGTGCATGCGTAGAAGAAAAGTCAGTGGGTTATGGTCTGTGTAGACCGTTACAGGAAGGACAGTCGAACCGACATACACGTCAAAATGTTGAAGAGCCAACAGTAAAGCTAGAGCTTCTCTTTCGATAGTGGAATAGTTACGCTGATGTTTGTTATATTTCTTTGAGAAATAACAAACAGGATGATTGATCTCATCATTACCCTCCTGCAATAATACAGCACCAGCTCCCACCTCACTTGCGTCCACTTCCAACTTAAACGGTATGGAAAAATCAGGAGCAGACAACACGGGTTCACTACACAACAACGTTTTGACGCTGTCAAAAGCATTCTGGCACTCATGTGACCAAACAAACTGATTCGAAGGGCTAAGTAAAGCAGTTAAAGGAGTTGCAACAGACGAAAAATTCCGGCAAAAACAACGGTAATAACCGGCCATACCTAAAAACCTACGCAACTCACGTCTGGTAGATGGCACAGGAAACTCGCTAATAGCCGAAACCTTTGCTGACAAAGGACGCACTTGACCCTGACCCACCCGTTTACCCAAATAGGTAACTGTTGCCTTCCCAAACTCACATTTAGCAAGATTAAGTGTTAGGGATGCCTTCGCTAGACGCTCAAACACTGTTCCTAGTAACGATACATGCTCTGACCAACTTTGTGAATAAACAACCACGTCATCAAGATATGCATTGCAGTTAGGAACATCAACAAGAACTAAATTGACCAATCTTTGAAATGTAGCTGCGGCGTTTCGCAAGCCAAAAGCCATAACATTATATTGCATAAAGCAATCTGGCGTTACGAACGCTGAAATTTCAGATGCTCTAGAGGTCAGTGGAACTTGCCAGTATCCTTTCAGTAGGTCGAGTTTACTAACAAACTTTGCTGATCCTATGCTATCCACGCAGTCCTCCATCCTCGGTAGTGGAAAGCAATCTGGTATCGTAACAGCATTAACGCGTCGATAATCAGTACAGAAACGTTTAGTGCCATCTGATTTCTGCACTAAAATACACGGGGAACTCCAGGGACTAACACTAGGACTGGCCAATCCCTTCTCCCACAAATACTGAGTCTCCTGTTTCATTATAGCTCTTTTCACAGCATTAATCCTATAAGGGTGTTGTTTAATCGGTCGTGCATTAGTTACATCAATATCGTGTTGTAGCACGTGTGTAAGTGTAGGAACGTCACCCAAAATAGAAGAAAATTTGTCAAGAAGCTCTACAACATCCTGCCTTTGACCTGCATTAAGATGAGCTAAAAAATTGGATAAGTCTTTAAGAGTTTCAGAGTTTGACAGCCTAGCTGATAATAACGGCGTATCAGACTCCAGTACACCATCCAGATCAGCATCCTGCTGCTCAACAGCTGGACTCGTCTCACAGACCACACCCACTGGAAAGACAACAGAACTTTCACTTTTCATGGTAAGAGATTCTGTATTAGAGCCAGCTCTAGCATGATAAGCTTTCAGCATATTAATATGGCATACTCGCTTCTGACGTCTCCTATCAGGAGTTCGCACCACATAATCAGTCTCACTCTTTTTCTCAAGGATCACATATGGCCCAGAAAATCGTGCAGATAAAGCAGATCCAGGAATGGGAAGCAAGACCAAAACTTGATCACCAACGGCAAAAGATCTATCCACGGCACATTTGTCATAACGCTCCTTCATTTTCCCCTGAACTTTAGACAAAGATTCTCGAGCCAGTGTACACGCTTTCTGTAGTCGTTCCCGGAACTTACTTACATAATCTAGCACATTTATTTCCCTAGCATTCTCGATGCCTAACATCCTCTCTTTCAGGACTTTCAGAGGACCTCTGACCGTATGCCCAAAGACCAACTCTGATGGACTAAATTTAAGAGATTCCTGCACAGTTTCACGAATTGAAAATAAAAGCAATGGGACTCCTTCATCCCACTCGTTTCCCGTCTCAATGCAATATTTCCTCAACATTGATTTTAAGGTCTGGTGGAACCTCTCTAACATTCCCTGACTCTGGGGATGATATGCGCTAGATATACGATGTGTGATATTTAGCGACTGGAAAACTTGGGAACACAGCTTAGATAAAAAATTGGTGCCCTGATCGGTTTGCACAATCTTTGGTAAGCCGAAAGTCGAGAAAAACTTTGTTAAAGTTTTAACAACCACTTTGGCTGTAATCTTACGAAGTGGAATGGCCTCTGGGTACCTAGTAGCGGTACACATGATTGTAAGTAGAAACTGGTTACCAGATTTTGACTTTGGTAATGGCCCCACACAGTCCACTATTACGTGTTCAAAAGGTTCGCCCAACACAGGGATTGGAATCAAAGGAGCCGGTGGAATCACCTGGTTAGGTTTTCCTGCGTATTGACAAATGTGACAGGTCTTACAATACTGAATCACATCCCGCTTAAGACCATACCAAAAAAAATGTTGAAGAACACGATTATAGGTTTTTGTTACCCCTAGATGTCCTGCCAACAGGTGATCATGCGCCAAAGACAAAACCTGCTGACGAAAAACAGTGGGAACCACCACTTGATAAACTACATTCCACTCGTTCTCTATAGTATTACTTTTGTGCCATTTTCGCATAAGTAAACCATCCTTAACCAAGAATGAAACATTGTCCAATTCATCACTCTTCACTGACTTAAAACACTTTGCTAACGATGGATCATCTTTTTGAGCTTCAATGAGCTTTTCACGAGTTACGGCTAATGACAAAGGATCACTCACTACAACCTCCCTCACCTGGTCATTGTCACAAAACCTGGTCTCCACAACCTCCTCCGTCGTCCCATCTGTACACAAGAAAGAGTCAGATAAAGAAATGTCATTCCCCTTCTTAGATTGGGCCCTTGTAACAACGCACGCAGGAAATGCACTTGGGTATTTCTGAAACAACTCATCGGTCTTAAGATGAGTCAATGGAGTGTCTACCACTTCCAGCAAAGGTGTTACCTGCCCCCCGGCTAAATCATTACCTAAGATGAAAGACACACCCTTCACTGGTAATACTGGACGTACTCCTACCTCCACAAAATCGGTCACCAAGTCAGACTGAAGATGGATCCGATGAATGGGTACCCTAATCACCTCCATACTGAAACTCTGCACTAACCTACTAGATCCTACTGATGATTCATCTGAAAAAGACAACACATCAGCGCATACAAACGACTGCGCAGCTCCCGTGTCACGTAACATCTGGACTTCAACCTGGTCCTCCTTTTTACCGGTTAATGAAACAAACCCTTTAAGTAAAAAGGGCAAGTACGAAGGGTCTGGTATTTCAGCTCCATTTTCAGAAAGCAAACACGAATTCACCGAGTTCACAAATGCAATTTCTTTCTTCGGAAAGTTCTGCTTGCGCTTCAAAGAAAAACAGTCGGCTATAACATGTCCTTTCTTGTGACAATAAAAACAGTCACGAGTCTCTTTAGACTTCTCACTACTCTGTTTAGGCATCTGAACATTCATTGAAGCCCTCGGTAAAGAATTCTTCTCAGGACCTGCTATTTGAAAAACGTTTTTATGCGTAAGCACAAATTCGTCCGCTAGTACTGCAGCTTGTGAAAGTGTCGCTACCTTCTGCTCATTTAAATACAGCACCACTCTCTCAGGGAGACACTGCTTAAAATCCTCCAGTAAAAGAAGCTCCCTAAGTGAAACAAAATCATCAGCCTTACTAGAAAAACACCATTTGTCGAAAAGCATTCCCTTATCTCGTGCAAATTCTACAAAGGTTTGAGTTGCGTTTTTCTTACAATTTCGAAAATGTTGCCTGTAAGCCTCTGGTACTAACTCATATGACCGGAGTATGGCGGACTTCACCATGTCATACTTAAGACCATCTTCCAAAGATAAAGTGGAGTACACTTCTAATGCCTTGCCGACCAATTTGCATTGCAATAACAACGACCAAACCTCCTTTGGCCAACCTAAAGACGTTGCTATTCTCTCAAAAGCGTTAAAATAACTATCCACTTCTGATTCTCTAAAATTCGGCACCAAAGCAATGTGTTTTCCCACATCAAATGTGGTTGAACCCAAATTCGTCGAATTATTACTCACCGATGAGAAGTTCTGCTGCCCAGAGGAGACTGGAGTAACCCTAGCCGCTTCAATCTCCAACTTACGAAGGTTCACCTCTTTCTCGGCTTGAATTTCGAGCCTGCGGACTTCCAGCTTAAGATCCAGCTCTGCTTGGCGGGCTTGTGCTCGTTCTTCCACCTCCATACGGAGTCGTGCAATTCGCACTTTCGTTTGTATCTCCCCTCTTGAACTGGGAGTACTCGGGGAAAAGGGTTCAAAAGGGGGCAAAACAGCCCCGACATCGGCCTCAACCTCCGTCACGGCCGTCTCTACCTCCTCTTTACCCACTTCAATAACATCCTGCCCTTCGCCAAAAGGATCGGTCTTTTTGTCTACGTCAGGCAAAATGTTTAATTCAACCAGCCGATCTATCACTTCGGCTTTAATTTTTCGTTTTAGGGATTGCTTTGGAATAGAAATCTGGAAGTGGTTAGCTATTGTCAACAACTCATCTTTCCTACACTTTTCGATAGCATCTAATGAGGGATAATCAAGGAAACCCTGCAAATTAAACGCCATGAGCACGCCTAGTATTAACAACTCGAACTAACATGCCTCACAAAAAGGAAAGATATACTCCACAAGTTCACTACCATTCACACTGAATCTCTGCCATGTTCAAAACAACACAATTATTTAATAAACAGTAACAAACGACGAGCCCCCAATTATGTTACGTCTCCCCATTACTAGGTCTAAAACTAATAGGGAAAGTAACATAGAAGTATTAAATTTAGTTAAATAAATAACAAAAAAAAGAAAATAGGTTCAGCTACTGATAACAACTTGTGTTGAGATGAATCAGACAGAGACAGATTTCGTTGAGTGCTTTTTAGTAGGTCGCAATAGTAACCCAATAGTTTTACAGTTTGAAAGTGAAGAAATAAATATTTACAGAATATACACAAATGAAGAGACAAAACATAAAACACAGGAGAAAGGGACAATGAGCGGTGCTAAAGCAAAGAAATAAACATAACAAAACCCTCTAATCTTAACCCCTTTGATATTCCTAAACTATCAAAGAAATACACGAAAATAAACAATTTTCCGGCAACGAATCACCGACTAAACTACACTAAATAACAAACATAAATACATGAGGTAGCATCCGCTCCTTACCTGATGTATATAAACAAACTCAAACTCTAACGTGTTGCATTATGTAGATCACGTGACAGACTAACTATCCCTTCTCATTGTGTCTGGGAAGATCGATGTCGTACGACAAAGTCACGCACCAAAATAAATCAAATAATACAAACTTAGAGAAATAAAAGAAAAAACAATCGAGGAGGCTAACAGCGAACAACAACACAGTGACACGAGAAAAAAAACACGCCTCCCCCCTCTCTGCTCGTCACTTCCAGGTCTTTATATGGAGAGGGTGAGTTCGGATTGGTTCTTTAGGGGGATGACGTCACGTTGGTTAATCATGATAAATACGAACCCACCAATCATGCGACCTAAGAATAAGGACAGCAGAGAACAAAAGAAAAGGGGAGGGGGGGAAAGAAAACACAACCAAAATACGACACAGACGTAACACCCGTGTTAGGTTTTTGTGTGTGCGTGATTCTCACATACTGACTATACATTATCGCTTACAAATTAAATAGGACAAGGCAGTAGACCAGACTAGAGGAAAGGAGATATTGCCTGAGGGCTGACAATTAAATCCTAATTATAAATGTTATTTTTGACCTTGATAAATACTTATGAAAACTGAAAATGAACTTGATCAGTCCCCCTTTGATGATTGCAAATGACAAATCACTGCAGTAATGGACGTAATATTCAGAAAAAAAAACAATGACAAGCAGAAGCAATTTTATTGTTACCTACCAAAGGCACTGTGTATTTGTTCTACTCACATAAACTAATTTAATATGATCCCGTCAGGTTCATTCTTTTACATACAGTCCGCGGCCTAAACATTATCTACAAGCTATACGATTATGCAATTACTATGACAGTGTCAAAGCTCTGCTCATCAACGGACCTGACAGTTCACATGCTGAGGTACTCTTTTATCATTCTTCTCCCAGCAAGGGATTATGGGAAGCAATACCAGTGTTGTTTAAAAGGATAATGTTTTTCCTTAGATAACTCTCAGAGTGGTCAGAGTGCGGCTTCCTGTTGTACGTTGATATGTTGAGGCTATTTATAGAAAGTGTTAAATGTGGACTACAGCCAGTGTCCCAAACATGGTGTACCACATAGACATTCAGTCTCGCACACACACTGACAACACAAAATGAAAATGCCTTGTAATACAAATGTAATTTTGACAAACTCCGTATGGAAATTTAATTAAGAAATAATTGGTGCTGAAACAACGTTTTAACACATAAAAGGCACAATCGATACTGAGTGCTGTTAAAACCCTCTCTGCTTTTAGACCCTGCTGTGCTAGCAAGAATTAGAAAGTCGCTCAATAGGGCTCAATTAAGGCATTCAGGCTTTTTTCTTTTCTTTTTTTCTTGTTTAACTTTTGTAAACAAAGTATTAAAGCGCTAGAGGAATATGGCATTGTGCCATGAGGACAAAGTGTTACAACTTTTATTTGATCAAATTCAATGTTATTCCTTCTTAACAGACCACACGAAAATGAACATTCAAAAATAACATTCAAAAAAGAGCCGAAAAAGGTCATTCAAGTTCACTGACTAGTTCCTACAACTCCAACAACTAGCAGTTGCCAACCTTGTTAGGATCAATATACACAGCAGGCTAAATTATGAACCTCTAAATCACCTTTTTTTAATAGGAAGCTGGCTAGCCCCTGACTCTTTGCACCTGTTCTCCATTTTACTCTACTTGCCCACCACCTGTAGACAATCAATAACTCACTTAATAAAGCCATTCAGTCACCATTACACATTAGCAAGACTAGCCTCGCTACTATGGCAACTGCACAGAGGTTGACATCCTATATGGCTAGTAACTCTCAGCAGGATGAGAGTAACAATAAAGAGCTCAGGAGAAAATGTTATACATTTACACGTTATTTCATTCCTTTTCCAACAGAACAATGGCAAAATAAAACAAACAATCTAGATGCCACAGTCCGTGGATCAAAATCAAACTCTCTTTACACGTTCATTTTTAAGTTGCACTCTCTACATTCTCTAAGTTCATAAAAACTGGTAAAAAAAAACTGTGCTGGTTCCATTTCATTCCATACCATAATAAATAAAATAAATATATTAAAAAAAATAAGTATGCTGTAAAAAAATAATAATTCAAAGTTGTAAATAGAACAGATTATTTGAGTAGGCTATGTTTTAATGGGGTCATGAATTGAAAAAATCAAATTTTCCTTGATCTTTTGACATATAAGAGGTCATTGAACTATAAAAAATCCTGTAAGTTGCAGACCCCAAACTTCCTCATTATTCCAAAAACAGCTTTTATTTAAAACCAAACTCAGAATTTCGTCATAGTGTGACGAAAGACCGCCTCTACAGAAGAAGATTACGCCTACTTCTACATCATTGACTCTTTAGCCCCGCCCACTGATTCACACATGTCATGTAGTAGTAAACATGAGACAGGCGCAACTGCAGTGTCAAATACATTGGATCCGACAGTAATGTTGCAACACACAAGTGTGAGTAACAGTGTTTTTACTATGTGTCACTATTGCTTTGTCTGCTGCAAATCGCTTGATATTTACTGAGTATTAATACTGTAGCGCCGCAGTCAAACTGAATAGTTGTGATATTCTGTTCTCTCCTTTGCTTCGGCATTTATGGGGTTAATGCGTTGGATTATTGTCGGATACGGAAGAAAGCACATAGAGAATGCTGATTTAGTTGTTTTTATCTAAGCCATTCACTGTAATCCTGAATAAAACTACTTCAAAATTGTTTAATTCAATGTTACGTGACGTTTCTTTGTATGTTATTTGAGTGAAATGTGTTTCAAAGTAAATCCTACACCATCCCCCCTCCCCCTCCCTGTAGCTGTTGTATATTTCAGAAAGTGGGACCCACGCAAGAGGATTATCATGTTTGGTGGTGCGTCGGCGTATTAAAAGTAGTATTACAATTACTATAGTATTGCAATGGTACTTCTTGCAAGTCCATCTTGTTTCTACAGATTGATTTTACAAATCAGATTATAAAAAAAAGCTAAATAAGAAAACAAGTAGGCTACTGGCAAGGGAACAGACACAAACCTGTTGATATATATCCCTCTTTCCAACTGTCTGAATAAATCAAATTCATTCTCACATCAACAATATCTTCCCTACCCTGTTTGACAGTATTCAGTCTGATGTATGTTTTTGCCTCCAGCGTGACTCCAGGAGCAGCTCCTGTTTATTTGCCTTTAGACAAATTGGACAGTTGTTCGTTTTTGGAGGCTTTCCACGTTCAAAAAGTCGAAAAGGGTCCCATCAGACCAGCACTGGGGCCTTAAGGGGGGCTGGTGAGATGCCGCCATTGAGCAGGGCTTTTGATATCACTCCCTCTATTAAAGCAACCTGTGCTCCTCTGGGGTTTTTAAATGCATTAACCCTTTGTCCATATCCCTAAATCAACAGTCTAACAGGAGACAAAGAGGACGCCACAGGGTTTTGAGAGAGCGAGAATGGGAGATAGAAAGGGGAAAAGAAAAGTGACTTCTAAAAATACACTCCTCAGTTCAACTGCTCTGTAAATAGGCTCTATACCAGCCTTTCTCAAAGTGGGTGCCGCGGCACACTGGGGTGCCCCCTGACTTTGTCAGGGGTGCCGCCAAAAAATTACGTAGGCTAAAAAAAAATATATATATATATTTGAATTTACATAAATACATTCTTCTTCTTTT